TTCGAGAGGAGGCATGGGAAAGTCGAAGGAATTAGCGGAGAAGCTTCAGAAGGATTTGGACGAGATGCACCAGTCCAAACGTGCGATGCTGAACGAGATGGACCGGCTGCGAGCTCGAGCGGAGGCGGTGGAGAGCTACGGGCACCCACCGCCTACGGCCCCCGATCACCTCGGACTGGGACGGGTCGCCGCCGGAGTCGAGGTGGACGCCGCTAACAAAGAGCTCGACAGGGTGAAGAAAGAACGAGATTTTCTCATGCAGCAGATCGATATAATTAGAAACGATTGTAGTAGTAGTATCCCGAAGGAGAGATGCAGATGCTTCTTTCGGCAAATCGTGGACGCCTGCGTCGGTTGCTTGAAACGAAACGTAGTTCACGGAGACCTGAAGATGGAGAACGTGATCGTCGATCTGGACACGGACAGGATCAAGCTGGTGGACTTCGGTTTCGCCAAATTCGTCGACGACCAACCGATCGCCAGCGCTTTCGGAACCACCGATCATTACCTTCCTCCGGAGATGCTGAAACAGCGATTCATGTATGCCGTTCCGGCGATGATCTGGTCGCTCGGAATCATGCTGTTCGAAATGATCACCGGAGAAGAAGTAGAACGCGGCCGTCGACGTACTTGCAGATAATCGACGACGCGGAGCTACTTTCGCTCCTCGATCGAATGCTGGCGGTCGATTGGAGGAAGAGGCCGTCGCTGAAACAAGTGTCAGATCATCCATTGACGAATAAACTGACCGCGAATGGGGAATATGTTCAATAGAAGACGAGATGTACAGACGGATGCACAACAACGAATTTCGCTTGCAATTTCACGTTCCAGGGTCGGAGGGAAACGGCTTCGTTCGACCGACGTGGCGAAGAGATCGACCGCACCACCCCGTCATGGTAAAGGAGATTTTGAGGCCTTGCCCCACGTCAAGATGGAAGGGTGCGCAGCTGCCCGAGGAAGCGGTGTTCATGGAAATGGCGAAAGGAGTACCCGGTTGCGCGAACTTGGAAGCCGTTTCGAACGACGACCGATCTTACCTTCTGGCCGTGACGCGACCGACGTTCCACTGCTTCCTGAACGGGATGCTGGAATCTTCGTGCTGCGGAGAAAACAACGCGAAGAATATATTCGAGCAGGTGGTGCGAGCCTGCGTCGGCTGTCGAGACCGCGGTTTCTACCATGACTCGGTGGACGAGAACAACGTGATCGTCGACTTGATCACGGACTGCGCCGAACTCGTAAATTTCGGGTCGGCCGTGAAAATCGACGAGCGGAACAGATCTGTGCTGGAAAGACGCTGCGTCGACTCGTTGACATCACTGCATCGCCGGATGACCGGAAGAGAATGTTTCGTCGGACAAGAAGCGGCCACTCTCGACGACTTGATGAGATGGGTGGTAGACGACACCGATTCCCGAGAATAAATAATTTTTTTTACAAATGTTGTTCTTTCCAACACCCCAAATTGTTTTGTATACTATGTTAAATGAATATTGAAATAATAAATAAAAGACACACACAAAAATCTATATGGTATTACTTTCTTTTTATTTTTAATTTGTTCTACGAAGACTTGTCTTCAGATAACTCTTTGATGAGCTTCTGTATTTCCTGACACGTAGCCTTGTAAGTTCTGAAGTCTTGCTGGGAGGGAGCCTCGCCGCCGGTGATCTTGGAAGCCATGGATCTTTCGAGGCTCCTGAACACAAGCAGCTGCTCTTCGCACACTCGTCGATAACTGGGCACGACGTGACGATCGAAGTGAACCTCCACTTCTTGTGACGAGAAGGTGGTTGGAAACGCATGCTGCACTTTCGCGTCGACAGAAAGGTATTAGCGATTTGGTAGTGAAAGTGGGCTCGGAATAAAGACGTCGATCCATTTCAAAATGTCGTCTCGACGTCGCCGACAATCGTCGGAAGACGAACAGGAAGACGAACGTCGTCTCCCGCCCGTGCCAGTAAAGGTGAAGAAGAAGTCGAATATCGTATGGATAAGTTCCGAAGAAGACGAATCGGACAACCAACCGGGAACGTCGAGGTCGGGAGGCTCCTCCTCGGCAAGAGACGGCAACGGAGCCTCTTCGTCGAGAATGTCCGTTGGCGCCTCCGGCGACGGCGGTAAGTCTTCCGGTTCGAGAAACATTGCTGCCAAATCTTCGAGAAACTTTGCAGTCAAATCTTCGATAAACGGTGTCCCACGCAAACTGCTCTCGGCGAGGAAAACAAGCAAGAAACCGAAAGCGACGGCAATGGTTCGGCCGGTGGGCCACGTCGATTACGCCAGACCGGACAACGCATACGTGGCTGGAGGCGACTACGACGACCACGACGACGACCCCTGGAGGCACAATCTGTTCTTCGACGGTCCGCTGAGAGAAGGAACGAATCCGCAGTACAGGGTGAAAGGCAACATGCCGGCGCTGAACAACATACACTTCGTGGTCGACGACGTGAACGACGTCATCTGGTACAAGGTTCCTCGATGGTTTGACCCGAAAGCCCTGCAGCAGTTGAGCCGTAAACTGAAGGTCGAGGACATCACGTGCCTGAACATCATCTCCTTGACCAAGACGGCGATGTTAACGAAAGAAATCGACGAGCTGACGGCAATCGCGACGTCGCTGGTAAGCAGCTCGGTGATCTTTACATGTCTGAGGAACGAAAACATGCCCACCCTACTGGAAGACGCGAAGGACATGTTCGCAGACGAGAGAAGAACGCGACTGCTGGTGATCTGACGAACGTGATTTCCTCTCGCGAGAAAGGAAATCTGATAAGAAACACGATATGCGACACGC